TGCAGGAACTGCTCCTGTAAGAGAGGAACGCGCCGCTGAGCTGGGGCCACCAGCTCCTGCTGGACAAGGCCTCCCCCACCAGCCTGTGCCCGGCCTCTGGCTTTTTGTTAGAGCTGGGGGAGAGCAAGGAGTGCTGTTGTGTCCAAGGGAATCATAGAATCATAGAATGGTCTAGGTTGGAAGCGACCTTAAAGATCATCTAGTCCAACCATCAACCTAACTCTGACAAAAAAATAAATAAGAAATAAGCAATCAAAAAGAAATCACTAAACCATATTCTTGAGGACCGTGTCAACCCCTCTTTTGAACACCTCCAGGGATGGTGCCTCAACCACTCCCCTGGGCAGCCCATTCCAATGCTGGATAACCCTTTCACTGAAGAAATGTTTCCTAATCTCCGATCTAAACCTCCCCTGGCGCAACTGGAGGCCATTTCCCCTTGTCCTATCTCCTGGGACTTGGGAGACGAGACCAACCCCCGCTTCTCTCCACCCCCCTTCAGGGAGTTACAGCAGAGGGAAGCCACCTTCCTGCAGGTTGGAAGGTCCCGAGCCTGATGGTGCTCTCCACAATTAACCCGACCAGCCCATTCAGACCTGCACATAAGTGCGGTTCTCAAGCCCAAATACATCAGATTAACAAAGCAGGGACACGTTTCCTGCCTTCCATGGAGGGACAGTGGGGGTAGGATCCTGCAGGCACACCTGGGTCAGCCCCACACTCCAAACCCAGGCTCCAGCACAGTTTTGAGTGAAAACAGGTTCATCACGGAGCACTCAAACGCAGCGCTTCCTGCCCTCCCCATTCCTCACAGCGTGCCAGGACACTCCCCCCTCGAGGGATGGATGGCACCACCGCTTGACAGGCAGGGAAAATGTTTATGCTTTAACCACGAAGAGTTTTAAAACAATAAACATCTGGCAGCCTCGGGCTCCCTTTGTCTGCAGGGTGCTTCCCAGCGCTGCAGGCTTTTACGCTGCGCCGCGGTGAGGGGCACAACCAGAGAGCAGGGGGATGGGGGCAACCAGGGCCGTGCCAGCCAACAGGCTGGTGGGAGCAGAACCAGAAGCCCCCCCTCCCCCAAAAAACACCCAGTGGGGGCAGCCGGGGCCACCTCACCGGCTCCCGTGGCAGCGGGGAGGCCCCACACTCACAAAGTTGGCGGCGTCCATGATACCATCCTCCACGGGGTGGGTGCAGTCCAGGGTAAACTTCAACACCTGCTTCTTTTTTTTGCCACCTTTCGCTGCGGGCTTCTTCTGCAGCGGGGGGAAAAGGGAAAGAAAGAGAGAGAAAAAGAGAGAGGTGAGGCATCTGCTGCTGGCAACGGGGAGGAGAGAGGGGGGCAAACAGAATCACAGAATGCTATGGGGTTGGAAGGGACCTCTGGGGATCATCCAGTCCAACCCCCGGCCAGAGCAGGTCCCACAGGAACGTGTCCAGGTGGGGTTTTGAATGTCTCCAGAGAAGGAGACTTCACCACCTCCCTGGGCAGCCTCTTCCAGGGCTCTGCCACCCTCAAAGGGAAGACGTTCCTCCTCATGTTTACCGAATCACAGAATCTTCTAGGTTGGAAGGGACCTTAAAGATCATCTTGTCCAACCCTCAACCTAACCTAACAAAAATAGTCACCCACACAACAAACAAGGAGCATCATCACTAAACCCTATCTCCCAGCACTACATCAACCCCTCTTTTGAACACCTCCAGGGATGGGGCCTCAACCACCTCCCTGGGCAGCCCATTCCAATGGCTGAGAACCCTTTCCGTGAAAACATTTTTCCCAATATCCAGCCTGAACCTCCCCTGGCGTAACTTGAGGCCATTTCCTCTCGTCCTGTCGCCTGTGACTTGGGAGAAGAGACCGACCCCCACCTCTCTACACCCTCCTTTCAGGGAGTTGGAGAGAGCAATAAGGTCTCTCCTCAGCCTCCTCTTCTCCAGGCTGAATAACCCCAGTTCCCTCAGCCTCTCCTCATCAGACTTATTCTCCAGACCCCTCACCAGCTTTGTCGCCCTTCTCTGGACCCGCTCCAGCCCCTCAATGTAACTTCTGTATTCAAGACAGAACTTGTTATATTCAATTTTGTGCCCGTTTCCTCTTGTCCCATCCCTGGGCAGCGTTGAAAAAAGCCTGGCCCCATCCTCCTGACACCCACCCTTGAAGTATTTATAGGCATTGATCACATCCCCCCTCAGCCTTCTCTTCTCCAGACTAAAAAGCCCCAAGTCTTTCCTCAGCGAGGGGACGGGATGCGAGGGGACGGGGCCACGTTCCGGGCTGGGGGTGGGAGGAAACGGAAAGGGGTTTGGGCCAGGATTCGGGGTGTGGGGAGAGAGAAAGAAAGGCCTCCCACATCCCTCCACGCCTGGGCGGGCTAGGCCCTATGGAGGCCCAGACCCTGTGGAGGCCCAGCCCGCACGTGTAGGCCCCGGAAGGGAAAAAAGCGGGGAAGGAGGGAAATAAATGGGGGAAATAAGGTGCGGGGATGGCGGAAAAGGAGGTTTTGAGGGGGAACCGAGCTCGACCAGGCGGCCACCGGCGGCGGAGACTCACCACGGGCGCCATGGCGGCTCCAGCGAAGGGGCAAAAAGGGGGGGGGGGGCAGCAGCCAGGGATCAGAGGATCGGGGTCGGCAGGGCCCGGGGGTCAGGAGGTTGGAGGACTGGGGGCATCAGGGGACCAGGGACAGCAGGGATCAGAGGGTCATGGTCAGCAGGGACTGGGGATCAGGGAACTGGGGGATCAGGAGGATGGAGGACTGGAGGCATCAGGGACAGCAGGGACCAGGGATCACGGAATTGGGGGATCAGGAGGATGGAGAACTAGGGACATCAGGGGACCAGGGATCAGGGACCAGGGGGATCAGGAGGATGGAGAACTGGGGGCATCAGGGGTCCAGGGAACTGGGGGATCAGGAGGATGGAGAACTGGGGGCATCAGGGGTCCAGGGAACTGGGGGATCAGGAGGATGGAGAACTGGGGGCATCAGGGGTCCAGGGAACTGGGGGATCAGGAGGATGGAGAACTGGGGGATCAAGGGACCAGGGATCAATAGATCAGGGCCAGCAGCAGCCAGGGATCAGAGGATCATGGGATCAGGAGGTTGGAGGACTGGGGACATCAGGGGACCAGGGATCAGAGGGTCGGGGCCAGCAGGGACTGAGGATCAGAAGATCAAGGGATCAGGAGGATGGAGGTCTGGGGGCATCAGGGGACCAGGGCCAGCAGGGACCAGGGATCAGGGAACTGGGGGATCAGAAGGATGGAGGAGTGGGGACATCCGGGGACCAGGGAACTGGGGGATCAGGAGGAATGGAAACTAGGGACATCAGGGGACCAGGGACAGCAGGGATTAGGGAACTTGGGGATCAGGAGGATGGAGAAATGGGGGCGTCAGGGCACCAGGGCCAGCAGGGATCAGGGAACTGGGGGATCAGGAGGATGGAGGACTGGGGGCATCAGGGGACCAGGGCCAGCAGGGTCCAAGGATCAGGAAACTGGGGGATCAGGAGGATGGAGAACTGGGGGATCAGGGGACCAGGGATCAATAGATCAGGGCTAGCAGCAGCCAGGGATCAGACAATCGGGAGATCAGGAGGTTGGAGAAGTGGGGACATTAGGGGACCAGGGACAGCAGGGACCAGGGATCAGGAGGTTGTGGCCAGCAGGGACTGGGGATCAGGGAACTGGGGGAGCAGGAGGATGGAGGACTGGGGGCATCAGGGGACAGCAGGGACCAGGGATCCATCTGGCGAGGGCTAAGAGGTTGGGGCTCTCTGGAGCACCCCAAGGTGCCTGCAGGGTGCACATGTCCCTGCACCCCAGTCACTGCCTGCTGGAGCCCCCCTGAACCCCAGGGTGCCTCACTGCCTGTGGGGTACACGTGTCCCTGCACCCCACTCACTGCCCACGGGGTGCACCTCCACCCCCTGGGGATCATCACCAGGGCACAGAAGGGGATCGAGGCCAGCATGGACCAGGGATCAGGGAAGTGGGGGATCAGGAGGATGGAGAACTGGGGGATCAGGGGACCAGGGATCAATAGATCAGGGCTAGCAGCAGCCAGGGATCAGACAATCGGGAGATCAGGAGGTTGGAGAAGTGGGGACATTAGGGGACCAGGGACAGCAGGGACCAGGGATCAGGAGGTTGTGGCCAGCAGGGACTGGGGATCAGGGAACTGGGGGAGCAGGAGGATGGAGGACTGGGGGCATCAGGGGACAGCAGGGACCAGGGATCCATCTGGCGAGGGCTAAGAGGTTGGGGCTCTCTGGAGCACCCCAAGGTGCCTGCAGGGTGCACATGTCCCTGCACCCCAGTCACTGCCTGCTGGAGCCCCCCTGAACCCCAGGGTGCCTCACTGCCTGTGGGGTACACGTGTCCCTGCACCCCACTCACTGCCCACGGGGTGCACCTCCACCCCCTGGGGATCATCACCAGGGCACAGGGATGCCCGTGTCACAGAATCACAGAATCTTCTAGGTTGGAAGGGACCTCAAAGATCATCTTGTCCAACCGTCAACCTAACTGACAAAAATAGACACCCACACAACATGGCCAGCAGTGACTGGGGATCAGGGAACTGGGGGATCAGGAGGATGGAGGACTGGGGGCATCCAGGGACAGCAGGGACCAGTGATCCATCTGGCGGGGTCTGAGGGATTGGAGCTCTCTGGAGCACCCCAGGGTGCCTGCGGGGTGCACATGTCCCTGCACCCCAGTCACTGCCTCCTGGAGCCCCCCTGAACCCCAGGGTACCTCACTGCCTGTGGCAGTGTCCCTGCACCCCACTCACTGCCCATGGGGGTGCACCCCCACCCCCTGGGGATCATCACCAGGGCACAGGGATGCCCACCAGGGCCACGCCGTCCGGTGTCCCCACACCCCCACAGGGCTGTCCCCTGCCACCGAGCGCTCCGGGGGCTATTTTTGGGCCGTGGCGTGGCAGCCACCCGGCAGTGCCAGGGGGGCCCCGCGTCACGGGGGCCGCGGCATCGCTCTCATTCCAGCCGGCGCACGGGGAGCAGCGGCACGGCTCGGCACGGCACGGCACGGCCGGTCCCCCGCCTGACAGACGGGGAGAGGTAAAGCCTTCACCCTGGCCACGGTGCCCCCCCTTTTCTCTTGGGGCTCCCCAGCACGTGGGGCGACTGGGCTGGCTTCGCTGCCGGGATGCCACCTTCGTAGGGGACACCCCAGGGGAAGGGACACCCCATGGTGGAGGATGCTCCCTCCTGGGGGGGCCACCAAGCCCTGGAGCATCCCCCACCCCTGTTCTGGGGGACACTCTGCTGCAGGGGATGCTCCTTGGAGGGGGACACCCCATCCCAGAGGATGCTCCTTGGAGGGGGACACCCCATCCCAGGGGGAGGCTCCTTTGAAGGGGACACCCCATCCCAGGGGGCTCCTGGTGCCCACCCAGGGGGACACCCCTCTGCTGGGGCCATCCCACCCACCCCTGCTGCCCCCCACCCGAGGGAAGGGGGGCGTTTGGGGCAGCTCGTGCCACGCTGCTCATAACCTAAAAATAGGTGGCTGCTGGCAGAGCCCAGGGGCAGGGTCCGTCCTTTGCAGGGTGGCCACGGCTCTGGTGCCAAGCGGGGCTCCCCGGGCACAGGGGGTGAAGCGGGGTGCAGGAGGGGGGGGCAACTCTCTGCCCTGCAGATGGCCGGGGGCATCTTCTCCCCGCTGGGGACCTGCTCGGAGCTGGAGAAGGCCAACTGCCACCCTCTGGTCTGCCTGCTCTGCCACGAGCCCTACCAGCACCCCTGCCTGCTCGACTGCTACCACAACTTCTGTGCCAGCTGCCTGCGGGGCCGTGCCAGCGACGGCCGCTTGCGCTGCCCACTCTGCGGGTAAGGGACCCCCCCTGCCCGGGTTGGGGGGGACACGGGGGACAGGGCACGCAGCACACGGCCGGCAACCCCTCGTGGCACTGCTCCCTGTGCCCACAGAGCTGCCCCCACCTGCCCTGGGTGGGTATCCCCATCCCAATCCCACCTCCATCCCCATCCCAATCCCACTTCCATCCCCATCCCAATCCCACCTCCATCCCCACCCCGACCCCGCAGGCACCCCTCGGTGGTGAGGGGGGGCACAGGGTTGCCCCCCGTGGACCGGCTCCTGCAGTTCCTGGTGGACAGCTCGGCCGACGGCGAGGAGGACGTGCAGTGTGCCAACTGCGACCGGCGCTGTGCCAAGGCGGTGAGGGCAAGGGGGGGTGTGCGGGCAGGGGGACCCCCGCCGGAGCCGTGCCCACCACCAGCCACCCCCCTCACACACCCTGCCCGCACAGGAGCTGGACACCATGTACTTCTGCAACACCTGCGGGCAGCCCCTCTGCGCCCCGTGCCGCGAGGAGACACACCGTGCCAAGATGTTCGCCCGCCATGAGATCGTCTCCCTCTCCAAGCGCACCAAGGACATCCACAAGAAGTGCCGTGAGTGCCGTGCCATATCGTGCCGTGCTGCACCATGCCATGCCATGCCATGCTCTACCGTGCCATGCCATGCTGTGCCCTGCCAGGCTGCAATGTGCTGCACCATACCATGCTGTGTTCTGCCATGCTAACCATGCCATGCTGTGTTTTGCCATGCTGAACCATGCCATGCCAGGCTGCAATGTGCTGCACCATGCCATGCCATGCTGTGCTCGGCCATGCTGAACCATGCCATGCCATGCTGTGCCAGGCTGCAATGTGCTGCACCATGCCATGCCATGCTGAACCATGCCATGCTGAACTATACCATACCGTGCCAGGCTGCAATGTTCTGCACCATACCATGCTGCACCATGCCATGCTGTGCTCTGCCACGCTGAACCATGCCATGCCATGCCAGGCTGCAATGTGCTGCACCATGCCATGCTGAACCATGCTATGCCATGCCACGCTGTAATGTGCTGCACCATGCCATGCTGCACCATGCCATGCCATGCCATGCTGTGCTCTGCCATGCTGAACCATGCCATGCCATGCTGTGCCAGGCTGCAGTGTGCTGCACCATACCATGCTGCACCATGCCATGCCATGCTGTGCCATGCTGCAATGTGCTGCACCATGCCATGCCATTCTGAATCATGCCATGCCATGCCTTGAGAGGCTGCAATGTGCTGCACCATGCCATGCCATGCTGAATCATGCCATGCCGTGCCATGCCATGCCAGGCTGCAATGTGCTGCACCATGCCACGCTGAACCATGCCGTGCCGTGCCAGGCTGCCCGATGTCCCTGTCCCTTGCAGCGCTGCACGAGGAGCCCTACATCATGTTCTCCACCGAGAAGAAGTCCATGCTCTGCATCAACTGCTTCAGGGACATGCAGGGGTGAGCAGCCCTGGCCCCGTGCGCGCCCTGTACCTCCTCCCATCCCGTGCCCTGACGGCCGTGCCCGCAGGGAGAGCCGGGCACACTGCATCGACATCGAGACGGCGTACATGCAGGGCTGCGAGCGGCTGGACCAGGCAGTGATGGTGGGCAAGCGGGTCTCGGTGGCGGGGAGTGGGGGCACGGGGGGGGGGTGGTGATGCCCGCAGCGCCGCAGCCCCCCTGCTGCCCCCCCTCAACCCCGGGCAGGCCGTGAAGGAGCTGCAGACCTCCACGCGGGAGGCCATCGTCCTCCTCAAGGCCATGATCGAGGAGGTGCGCAACAGTGCCAGCGAGGAGGAGGCAGCCATCAACTCCCTCTTCGGCCGCATGCAGGTGTGGGGCAACCACCTGCACGTCGTGCCCTGCACCCACGGGTGCCCAACGTGTGGGCAGGGCAGAGCTGGGGGGGTAGGAGGGGGTCGGGGTGGCCGTGGGATGGGCAGCAGCCACAGGACACAAGGCAGGACACCATCATACCATTTGCAGGAGCAGCTCTCTGAGAGGAAGAAGACGCTCCTGAAAGCCGTTCAGAGGTGAGGGGCTGCAGACCGAGCCACCTCCCGGGGGGGGTGTCCCTCCATCTCGGGGTGTTTTGGGGTGCCCTGGGGCTGGATGGCTCCCCGGTGCCCCCGTAAGGGCTGTGCCATGTCCCCGCTCTGCTGCAGCCAGCACGAGGAGAAGGAGAAGGCCTTCAAGGAGCAGCTCGCCCACCTCGCCTCCCTGCTGCCCACCCTGCAGGTAGGGCACCAGGCTGGGCAGGGGTGCCCTGGCGCAGGAGCTGGGCTGCCCCAGCACCACGGGGTGCTGATGGTGACCCCCCCACACACACACAGGTCCACCTGGTGACCTGCTCAGCCTTCCTGAGCTCCGCCAACAAAGCCGAGTTCCTGGACCTGGGCTACGTGAGTGGTGCCAGCGCTGCGGGATGGTGGCAGCATCCCGCCGTGGGGCTGGGGGACACCACTGTGCCCCACTGCAGTGCTGGGAGGGGGGGTCCTGGTGCCACCCTGGGGTGGTGCCAGGCTCCTGGGTGCCCCTCACCCCACCGCTACCTTTCAGCAACTGATGGAGAGGCTGCAGAGGATCGTCAAGCTGCCGCACCGCCTGCGCCCAGCCCAGACCAGCAAGGTAGAGCCCTGCCACCCACCCGGGGTCAAGCCCCTGCCCGCAGCACCCCACGGGCAGCCCTGGTGGCTGGTTCTGCCCCATCCCCAGCCACACGCACCCCCATCTCGCCCCCCAGATCAACAGCGAGTACCGGGCAGAGTTTGCCCGCTGCCTGGAGCCCCTGCTGATGCTCAGCCCCCGCCGCTCCGTGGTGGGCAGCGCTGGCACCATTGGTCCTGGCATCGCCGGCGCAAACATGTGAGGTGCTGGGATCGCAGCGGGGGCACATCCTGCCACGTGTTCCCCCTCATCCTCCCCCCCGGGCATCCCAATGGGGCCCCCACGGTGCCAAGCTTGCCCCCGCTGCTGCCCTTGAGCCTGTCAACTCGGCGGGGACATGGCAGAACACAGCTGTGCTGACGAGCGACAGGCACGGGGGCTTCAAGTGACACTTCTGGGAAGTGGGGCGGGCAGTGGGGCACCCAGGCGAGCCAGCACCCGGTTCCCCAAGCCTGGCCCCCCCGCCACTGGCCGTCCCCAGAGAGCATTGTCCCCTCTGCCGCGGGTGCTGTGCCGGGGCCAGCTCCCGCTCGCCCGCACGCCCGCGGCGCCGCAACCTCTTTGCCCGCCACTATTTTTATCAGAATTTCAGGGAATTGCCCGGCCGTTCCTCACCCGGGGATATATTTAGGCCCGTTGATGTCACGGCGACGCTGGCTCTGCCAGGCGCTCCCGGCCGGAGAGGACAAACGGGCGCTGCTGCCCCATGGGCACCGCTCCTCGCCCCCGGCCGGGCTCGGCACCGCAGGGCGGCTGAGCTCCGGGGGGCTGCCAGCCCCGGCGCGGGCAGGGGGAGCGCGGCGTTGTACGGTAGGACCGACGGCGGTGGGGCAGCAGAGCCGGGGCGGTGGGAAGCGTGGGGAGGCTGTGGGGTCTGGAGAAGAAGTCTGATGAGGAGAGGCTGAGGGAACTGGGGTTATTCAGCCTGGAGAAGAGGAGGCTGAGGGGAGACCTTCTTGCTCTCTCCAACTCCCTGAAAGGAGGGTGTAGAGAGGTGGGGGTCGGTCTCTTCTCCCAAGTCACAGGCGACAGGACGAGAGGAAATGGCCTCAAGTTACACCAGGGGAGGTTCAGGCTGGATATTGGGAAAAAACCATGCTGTGTTCTGCCATGCTAACCATGCCATGCTGTGTTTTGCCATGCTGAACCATGCCATGCCAGGCTGCAATGTGCTGCACCATACCATGCTGTGTTCTGCCATGCTAACCATGCCATGCTGTGTTTTGCCATGCTGAACCATGCCATGCCAGGCTGCAATGTGCTGCACCATGCCATGCTGAACCATGCTATGCCATGCCACGCTGTAATGTGCTGCACCATGCCATGCTGCACCATGCCATGCCATGCCATGCTGTGCTCTGCCATGCTGAACCATGCCATGCCATGCTGTGCCAGGCTGCAGTGTGCTGCACCATACCATGCTGCACCATGCCATGCCATGCTGTGCCATGCTGCAATGTGCTGCACCATGCCATGCCATTCTGAATCATGCCATGCCATGCCTTGCGAGGCTGCAATGTGCTGCACCATGCCATGCCATGCTGAATCATGCCATGCCGTGCCATGCCATGCCAGGCTGCAATGTGCTGCACCATGCCACGCTGAACCATGCCGTGCCGTGCCAGGCTGCCCGATGTCCCTGTCCCTTGCAGCGCTGCACGAGGAGCCCTACATCATGTTCTCCACCGAGAAGAAGTCCATGCTCTGCATCAACTGCTTCAGGGACATGCAGGGGTGAGCAGCCCTGGCCCCGTGCGCGCCCTGTACCTCCTCCCATCCCGTGCCCTGACGGCCGTGCCCGCAGGGAGAGCCGGGCACACTGCATCGACATCGAGACGGCGTACATGCAGGGCTGCGAGCGGCTGGACCAGGCAGTGATGGTGGGCAAGCGGGTCTCGGTGGCGGGGAGTGGGGGCACGGGGGGGGTGTGGTGATGCCCGCAGCGCCGCAGCCCCCCTGCTGCCCCCCCTCAACCCCGGGCAGGCCGTGAAGGAGCTGCAGACCTCCACGCGGGAGGCCATCGTCCTCCTCAAGGCCATGATCGAGGAGGTGCGCAACAGTGCCAGCGAGGAGGAGGCAGCCATCAACTCCCTCTTCGGCCGCATGCAGGTGTGGGGCAACCACCTGCACGTCGTGCCCTGCACCCACGGGTGCCCAACGTGTGGGCAGGGCAGAGCTGGGGGGGTAGGAGGGGGTCGGGGTGGCCATGGGATGGGCAGCAGCCACAGGACACAAGGCAGGACACCATCATACCATTTGCAGGAGCAGCTCTCTGAGAGGAAGAAGACGCTCCTGAAAGCCGTTCAGAGGTGAGGGGCTGCAGACCGAGCCACCTCCCGGGGGGGGTGTCCCTCCATCTCGGGGTGTTTTGGGGTGCCCTGGGGCTGGATGGCTCCCCGGTGCCCCCGTAAGGGCTGTGCCATGTCCCCGCTCTGCTGCAGCCAGCACGAGGAGAAGGAGAAGGCCTTCAAGGAGCAGCTCGCCCACCTCGCCTCCCTGCTGCCCACCCTGCAGGTAGGGCACCAGGCTGGGCAGGGGTGCCCTGGCGCAGGAGCTGGGCTGCCCCAGCACCACGGGGTGCTGATGGTGACCCCCCTACACACACACAGGTCCACCTGGTGACCTGCTCAGCCTTCCTGAGCTCCGCCAACAAAGCTGAGTTCCTGGACCTGGGCTACGTGAGTGGTGCCAGCGCTGCGGGATGGTGGCAGCATCCCGCCGTGGGGCTGGGGGACACCACTGTGCCCCACTGCAGTGCTGGGAGGGGGGGTCCTGGTGCCACCCTGGGGTGGTGCCAGGCTCCTGGGTGCCCCTCACCCCACCGCTACCTTTCAGCAACTGATGGAGAGGCTGCAGAGGATCGTCAAGCTGCCGCACCGCCTGCGCCCAGCCCAGACCAGCAAGGTAGAGCCCTGCCACCCACCCGGGGTCAAGCCCCTGCCCGCAGCACCCCACGGGCAGCCCTGGTGGCTGGTTCTGCCCCATCCCCAGCCACACGCACCCCCATCTCGCCCCCCAGATCAACAGCGAGTACCGGGCAGAGTTTGCCCGCTGCCTGGAGCCCCTGCTGATGCTCAGCCCCCGCCGCTCCGTGGTGGGCAGCGCTGGCACCATTGGTCCTGGCATCGCCGGCGCAAACATGTGAGGTGCTGGGATCGCAGCGGGGGCACATCCTGCCACGTGTTCCCCCTCATCCTCCCCCCCGGGCATCCCAATGGGGCCCCCACGGTGCCAAGCTTGCCCCCGCTGCTGCCCTTGAGCCTGTCAACTCGGCGGGGACATGGCAGAACACAGCTGTGCTGACGAGCGACAGGCACGGGGGCTTCAAGTGACACTTCTGGGAAGTGGGGCGGGCAGTGGGGCACCCAGGCGAGCCAGCACCCGGTTCCCCAAGCCTGGCCCCCCCGCCACCGGCCGTCCCCAGAGAGCATTGTCCCCTCTGCGGCGGGTGCTGTGCCGGGGCCAGCTCCCGCTCGCCCGCACGCCCGCGGCGCCGCAACCTCTTTGCCCGCCACTATTTTTATCAGAATTTCAGGGAATTGCCCGGCCGTTCCTCACCCGGGGATATATTTAGGCCCGTTGATGTCACGGCGACGCTGGCTCTGCCAGGCGCTCCCGGCCGGAGAGGACAAACGGGCGCTGCTGCCCCATGGGCACCGCTCCTCGCCCCCGGCCGGGCTCGGCACCGCAGGGCGGCTGAGCTCCGGGGGGCTGCCAGCCCCGGCGCGGGCAGGGGGAGCGCGGCGTTGTACGGTAGGACCGACGGCGGTGGGGCAGCAGAGCCGGGGCGGTGGGAAGCGTGGGGAGGCTGTGGGGTCTGGAGAAGAAGTCTGATGAGGAGAGGCTGAGGGAACTGGGGGTATTCAGCCTGGAGAAGGGGAGGCTGAGGGGAGACCTTCTCGCTCTCTCCAACTCCCTGAAAGGAGGGTGTAGAGAGGGGGGGGTCGGTCTCTTCTCCCAAGTCACAGGCGACAGGACGAGAGGAAATGGCCTCAAGTTACACCAGGGGAGGTTCAGGCTGGATATTGGGAAAAATGTTTTCACCCAAAGGGTTCTCAGCCATTGGAATGGGCTGCCCAGGGAGGGGGTTGAGGCCCCATCCCTGGAGGTGTTCAAAAGAGGGGTTGATGTAGTGCTGGGAGATAGGGTTTAGTGATGATGCTCCTTGTTTGTTGTGTGGGTGTCTATTTTTGTCAGTTAGGTTGACGGTTGGACAAGATGATCTTTAAGGTCCCTTCCAACCTAGAAGATTCTGTGATTCTGTGAATGGGGGGAGATGCAAGGGCAGCATCAGCGGGCACCCACCAAGGGGCCAGGAGATTGCCTTCAGAGCCTGGGGTGCGCCAAGCTCAGCTCCTGCCTTCTCCCCACCAAAGCTGGGAGCGTGGGGAGTAGCAGCCTACAGAAAGCTGACTTTTGGGGCAGCAAAGGCACCTCCGACTAACCCCATTGTGCCAGGGAAGGGAGGTGTGGGGCTGGCACGTCCCCAGGCTCCCCGGGGGCGAGGGGCGGTGGGGCTGAGCCGGCGGCCGTGGCCCCTGGCACCTCGCCCCCGCTGCTGCTCGCCTGCAGCGCGCCGCTGTCGCCCTCCCCACGCAGGATCCCTGGTGGCCAATGCTCCAAGACCCTCATGGTGCCCGGCTGTCCCCCCGCCGGCGATAAAATGTCCATGGTGAGGAAGCCGACGATGCACCGGTACATCAGCACCAAGGTCCTGCTGGCAGAGGGGCGAGAGACCCCCTTCGCCGAGCACTGCCGCAACTACGAGAACACCTACCGGGTAGGGAGCGAGGGTCTGGATGGGATGGGATGGGATGGGATGGGATGGGGAGGTGCTGCTCACGCCACCGTTGCCCCCTCGACCCTCTTGTGCCTCTGTACTGGGCACTGGTGAGGCCTCACCTCGAGTACTGTGTTCAGTTCTGGGCCCCTCACTACAGGAAAGACATTGAAGTGCTGGATTGTGTCCAGAGGAGAGCCACCAAGCTGGGGAGGGGTCTGGAGAACAAGTCCTATGAGGAGAGGCTGAGGGAACTAGGCATGTTTAGTTTGGAGAAGAGGAGGCTGAGGGGAGACCTCATTGCCCTCTACAACTACCTGAAAGGAGGGTGTAGAGAGGCAGGTGTTGGCCTCTTCTCCCAAAGGACGAACGACAAGACCAGAGGAAATGGTCTGAAGTTGGGGCAGGGGAGATTTAGATTAGATATTAGAAAGAATTACTTTACTGAGAGAGTGGTCAGGCCCTGGAACAGCCTGCCCAGGGAGGTGGTGGAGTCACCATCCCTGGAGGTATTTAAGAAACGTATAGACGTGGCTCTTCAGGGCATGCTCCAGTGCCCAAGGTTATTGCTTTATGGTGAGGTGTTGAGTGTGGGGTTTAGTTGGTGGGTGCGGTGGTTTTGGTGGGCGTTTGGTGTGGTGTGTTTTGTATTTGTTTGGTTTTTTGGTTTGTTTTTTTTTTTTTTTGTGGTTGGACTCGATGATCTCAGAGGTCCCTTCCAACCACTAAGATTCTGTGATTCTGTGACCCCCTGCAGATGCTGCAGACGGAGATCCAGGGCCTGAAGGACCAGGTGCAGGAGCTGCACCGCGACCTCACCAAGCACCACTCGCTCATCAAGACGGAGATCATGAGCGAGATCCTGCAGAAGTCCCTGCAGATGGACGTGCAGATCGCCGCTCACTACTCGGCCGTGGAGATGATGCGCAGCGTCTTCGAGGAGGTACGGCCGGCCCGTCCCACCACAGCAGGGTTCCCCCCCCAGTGCCACGCCACGGCACGCTGCCCGGCTCCCTGTCCCCCTTCCAGGTCTGGGAGGAGACGTACCAGCGGGTGGCAAACGAGCAGGAGATCTATGAAGGTACCGGTGACCCTATTCCCCCAGCCCCGAGCCCCCCCCCATGTCTGCTGAAAGGTGGGGGGCTGCCGTGGCCACAGCCTGCTCCTCTCACCCCCCAGCCCAGCTCCACGACCTGCTGCAGCTGCGGCAGGAGAACAGCTGCCTGACCACCATCACCAAGCAGATCGCACCCTATGTCCGCTCCATCGCCAAGGTGAAGGAGAGGCTGGAGCCCAGGTGAGAGTGCTGTGTCCAGTTTTGGGCCCCCTACCATAAAAAAGACATCGAGGTGCTGGAGTGGGTCCAGAGAAGGGTGACAAAGCTGGTGAGGGGTCTGGAGCACAAGTCTGATGAGGAGAGGCTGAGGGAGCTGGGGGTGTTCAGCCTGGAGAAGAGGAGGCTGAGGGGAGACCTTCTTGCTCTCTCCAACTCCCTGAAAGGAGGGGGTAGAGAGGTGGGGGTCGGTCTCTTCTCCCAAGTCACAGGCGACAGGACGAGAGGAAATGGCCTCAAGTTACACCAGGGGAGGTTCAGGCTGGATATTGGGAAAAATTTTTTCACGGAAAGGGTTCTCAGCCATTGGAATGGGCTGCCCAGGGAGGCGGTTGAGGCCCCATCCCTGGAGGTGTTCAAAAGACGGGTTGATGTAGTGCTGGGAGATAGGGTTTAGTGATGATGCTCCTTGTTTGTTGTGTGGGTGTCTATTTTTGTCAGTTAGGTTGACGGTTGGACAAGATGATCTTTAAGGTCCCTTCCAACCTAGAAGATTCTGTGATTCTGCGAGAGGTGCCAGGGTTTGGGGGGGGGTCTTTTGGGGCCAGGGGGGGACACGGCTGTGGCTCATGCCCATCCCACCACAGGCTGCAGGAGCCCCGGGAGCCCAAGGAGGAACAGGCCCCGATGCTGCTCAAGATCTGCGACGACAGCGAAGGGGCACCAAGGTAGGTGACGGCAAGCACCTGGGTGCCAAATTCCCCCCCGTGCCCCCATCCCAGCCACTGACCCTGCCAAGGTGCCTTCCCTTCCCCAGGGACACCTCACCCCATGGCAAGGAGGGGGGTCCAGCCAGCCCTGGGGAGGGCTGTGAGTCCAGTGGTGCCCCCGGAGACCCCTCCTCACAAAGCAGAGATGGCTCCAGGGGTCAGCAGAAAAGCGGGGCCGAGGGCACTGCCAAGAAAGAGCTCACACCGTAGAGCCCAACACGGAGCACACAAAACCAGTTGGTGCCCAAAAGCCATTGTCAACCAGCTCCTCTTGCCTTGTGCCACGAGTGAGGGCAGGAAGACACGGCCCAGGCACACGGTGACTGCAGCGTACCAAAAGCCTGCCTCTGGGCAACTTTGTTTGTCTCAAATAAGTAATTGTCTTTATTCTCTCCCTCTTGTGTGTTAAAGTGAAATAAAAGGGCGCAAGCACACGTGTCTGCCTGGTTCTGCGGCTCCGGGGCATCCAGCTGCTCTTAAAACCACAAAGTTTGCAGAAATGGGGGGAAAAAAAAACAACCCTCAACAAACCCTGGTGCAGGGTAGAGCCAGGAGCTCACGGCAGGGTCTCAGAGTGTGCTGTGAGCTGCCAGCAGCGGAGCCAAAAGGCAGGCAGGGGACTGGAAATGGGGGGCTCTGTTCCCCAAGTGCCTGGGCCATCAGAAATCCTGCAGACCCCAGCAGGGCAGGCTGTGACAGCCCAGTCCAGCTCGTCACCAAAGGCTCAGCCACCTTCCCCAGCCCCAGAGAGCTCCCCTCTCCTCACCCAGCTTCCAGGAAAGTAAAAAGGTGAGGAGAAGGTGCTGATCCCCAAAGCAGGGAGAGGGCTGTGGGTGAAGTTCACCCCTTTCCTTTGGTGCCAGGGCACCCCACCTCGGGCAGAGCCTGCCCCTGGAATGGGGTGGGAGCCAACACCAGGGTGCTCTCACCAGTTAGCATCGAGGTGCACCCAACTACACAGAATAATCAGAAAATAAAGCTTAGTTTCCATCACCAGCTCACGCCAAACCCCAGCGGCGATCGCTTGCTTTGTTTGTTTTAAAGTGCAGTTGTGCAAGTTCACAGCAGAAATGTTAATGCCTTCCAAAAACAACAAAAAAAAATTAAGTTAATTTTTAACTCGCCTGAGGCACGTTGGTTGGCTACAACGGCAGGTCAGGGACGTCGGCTGCACCAGCCGGTCGCTGCTTCCACGAGGATGTGAGCTGGAGCCACAGAAAAGCCCGAGCAGGAGCCAAGGAGTGACTGTGCAGAGAAACCAGCACTCTCCAGCTGGTGTATTGTCATATTTGCTCTTTTCTCCCAAGCTAAAACCACACTGGGTAAAAGACAAATTGCAGGCAAAGCCCTCAGGCTGATGCTCTGCACAGAACATGCTGCAACACAAAGCTAGTCTGCCAGAGGACAGGCTCTGTGTGGGTGAAGTGAGGGGAGAGGGAGAATTTGCCCCATCTCAGTGGCCGTGCAGCCCCTCGAGTCACCATCCTGCTTCAACACAGCACTGGGCTGGACCAAAAACCCACTGGGAATTGTAGAAGGAAGGATTCCCGTTCCCATGATGTCACCAGCACCTCAAGAGATCTCCAAATAACCACCACACAGAAGTTGGAAATATTTTTTCTTGTTTTTTTATATAAAAAAAAGACCAAAACTAAAGCCATTTCCATCAGTGCCCCCATTCCTGAGCCGTTCCGCAGCACCTTCCCCAAGGAACACCACAAGCCCCCAAGCGTGAACTGACAAGCAACTCCTTTCCATTCCAGCTAGGAAGAATAACCTAAAACTCAAGAAAAACAAGTGAACCTCTTTGGTATATAACGACAGAATAAGTTATACCACAAAGCTCCAGTAGGAACCCATTTCCAAAATGGCAAGGTTTAAAATAGCATTAGCTAGCCAAACTGTCGGCCCCGGCCGCAGAATCTCCTTAAGAAGCACCTCCTGGTCCAGCTGAGATCCCAGGTTTCACCTGGCAGAGCAGGGAGGGATCTCAAGGGCTAAAACCCTCAGCAAATCTGGCAGCTGCAGTTTTTTCTCAGCTCATAAACCCTGGGATCTGTGCAGGAGGGAGGCAGGCTGGCAGAAGTAGGAAGCAGCGCGATTTGGAGGCGGGAAGAGGGAAGAGGTGGTGGCCGGGAGGCTCGGGAAGGCAGCGGCTGGAAGGGTGACTCCTGAACCAAGGAGGGAGGAGGCAGCAGCTCCCTCTCCCACCACATCTCACAGAGCTGAGAGGAAAAGGCTCCCTGTGAAGGGTAACACCGGGGGGGAACCGATGGCTGCCACGCTGCCAGCCCTGGTACAAGCAGGGGGTAGGCACCCCTGGCACCCCGAGAGCTGCAGCTCTGCTCCTGCGAGCTGCCCCGGCACCACAACGGGACCTAAAGAGATTAAAGCCACACTGCCCGGCTCCCCAAGGTCAAAAAGCTTTAAAATCGAGTGACGCCACAGGAACAATCCTCTGAGGGGCACCTTTCCTGCGTGGGAGGGGGGTGGGCAGAGCTGTTTTTGGGAAAAACCAGTCCGGAGGCGTCTCAGAAGAATCCAGCTGCTGCAGGCAGGAGGGCTCCATTCTCTTTAGGGTCGCTACAGGCTAAGTTATCTGGAAGATCCCTGAATGTGCAACGAAGGAATTATCTCAAGGAGGACAAACGAGCTTCTGTGTGACCCGGCAGGCCCCCAGCT